AGTGGTAGAGTTCCAGTTGAGGAGGCACAAAGCCCTGAATTGCAAACCCTAATACAACCACCAAAAAAAAGGGAGAATTGTAAGCAAATGGTATTTTTGCAAAGCTCCCTGTGGAAGCAGATATTTTTATTAATATTTATTTAGACATGGTTTGGGTAGCAGAACATTGGGATCTTATCAATGCCCTGTAAATGTTTGTGATTTTGACTGATTTTTCAAAGTAAATAAGAGGTATAGTATAGCCCTATGGATTTTGGATTGCAATTGCAAGTTGTGAATGTTTTCAAATGTTGCTATAACCTATGAAGATCAGCCCATATCTAGAAAGGAAAGAAGGAAGTCTTTTATTATGATGATGATGAATATCTTTAAATAGTTGTACAAAGGAGTTTCAATTCAACATGTTTTATGAGCATGAGGCATCTTGATCAGTGTTGAGATTCTCTTTTTTATAGTTTGGACTTTTGTATACTCAGATATATTCATAAACTTTATCCAAACATAACAAACTGCAATGAGTATTGAAGTTTCTCAATAGAAATAGTCATATATATATATATATATATATATAACATATATATACACATATGTGGAAAGATAAAGATATATTATTCTTTATATGACTTGCAGCTTGTTCACAATCATTTCCAGAGTTATGAAATTACCTTCTCAACTTAACTTTCAGTAATATAACCAAGGACTTCTGCCTCTTGGTCTACTTTTCTTAAAGATCTATTACCATAAACTATTAATAATATTCATTCTAAATCTAAGATTTCTCCCTTGTTATAACTTAAGTATTCCAACCACACCTTGCATGCACGTAAAACTATAAAATTACAACTTGCAATTTGCCTCAGTTTGCCAAGAGAAAGCCCCAGGCTAGCCTCATACTTTGAATATTAGATGAAAGGCACAGAGCTCCAATGAGACCATGGAAACCACAAAATGAATAACACATTATTCTTGTACAAAACAATAACATAACCCTAAACTTCAGAGAACATTGGTTGCAAAGAGTTCCTGCAAGCTCTAATAATCTCTGCTTCCAAAATATCTGTGAAATAGGGAGGGAGGGAGATTTAGCAATGGTGACTCAAATATTCAAAACAAAGCAAGAGACCAGAAAGTAGTCATATCCCTTGTATGTAATTTATCACTTAAGAGCAATACCTTGTCAAAAAAGTCAAGTTCCAACATGTTCGCATGTGTTTGTGTGTGAGAGAGAGAGTATATACTGGTACTAGGGCTTGAACTTAGTGCCTATGCACTATCCAGTAGCTTTTCAGCTCTAGGCTTGTGCTCTACCACTTGAGCCACAGATCCACTTCTGGCTTTTGAGTGCTTATTGGAGATAAGAGTTTCACAGATTTTCATACCTAGGCTGGCTTTGAACCACAGTCCTCAGATCTCAGCTTCCTGAGTAGCTAGGATTGATTAGTCGAGAGCCACCTGTGCCCGATCCATCTTGCTATTTATAGAATTATGTATACATGACCAGAAAGAAGGATTTTAAGCTTCCAGAAGCAACTATCCCCTCCTTCAGTTATTATAACTCTATGGCTATACTCAAATATCCATTTAGTAAAAATCCTGTACCATGATGGGCTCTTGACATGCATAATAAGTTAAGACATGATCCTTGCCTTAGAGGACTTCAAAGTGTAGTAGGGAAATCATAGGAAACACTATTAGTGATGTGAACTGTATAGTAATGTTTTATTAGTTTTATTAATGCTAGATGCTTTCAGGTTATTATTAAATTTTTTTTCAGTAGCCTGGACCATCAGAAACTACTGTTACTTTTTTTTTAATGAGAAAACAGTAACAGATTCAGTAACTTTTCTAAGTGAATCATTTAGCAAACAAATGGTAGATCTTTGTTATGAACTTGAGCAATGAGAATTTTAGGTCTATAAACTGGAGAAGCGCCCATCAACATGAGAGTCATTTGTGCTGGACAGCGAAGTTTTCTAAGACGTGGTGCCTTCTGGAAGCACCATCCATCACAGGGAGTGCTCCTTCATTTCCTCTGCAGACCCTGTATTCAGGGATACAATACACATAACTCATTTGCTTTTGATTGAAGTAGGTCTTGTCAGAGAACAGTACCAGTAACAGATTAAGGAGGCAGGGAGAATGAAGTCAGACATGCATTCCTTTTGTAGGTTCCCTTCCTGCACAGTTATTTGACCTATCTTCCTTTCCCAGTGTTTCCTGCAGGGGCTTTCTTTATCAAGTCTCTCCTTTCCTCGATCTCTAGAATAGCAACACTCTCTTCCATGCCCCATTGCCTTTAGAGATGGTAACTAGACTTGGGTTTTACTAGAATTGGAATACTGTACTATCCTTAGCAACTTCTCTATACCCTACCCTCAGTTTAGTCTTCCTTTTGTAAATCTTCCTCAAATTTCCCTAATTAATGTAATCTGCATGCTTCTACTGTTCCTATTAAGGACTCACAGCAAATAAAACAGTAAAGATAAGCATTTATGATTTCAGCTCACTCTTAATTTTCTTTTTCTTGTGTGTGTGTGTGTGTGTGTGTGTGTGTGTGTGTGGGTGTGTGTGTGTGTTCCTTCCATATAGCTGTTTCCGTATCCTCAAGCTCCTATGAGCCTTTCTTCAGATACTTTGCCTATCCAGATCCTCCCAAACCTGGAATATCACCAGGTGGGAAAACTCACCAAATCCTACACCCACACTGCAACCTACCTGCCATATTAATGGGTTGATACTTACTAAAATGATTTATGGAAATAGGACACAGAGGAGTATTTTCATTTTTTCTCAATGATTTTTGATTCATTAAAGTCCTATTTCTAATGGCTCATTATATTTTTGTCCACATTTACTTTTTGAGAATGGGAAAACTGAGTTCTGGAGAACACAAAGTGATTTGTCTATGATGTCAGAGTAGCGACAAAAAAAATCGGTCCCACTTCTGTTGGAATCCATGTCCTGTGATTTCTGCTTTTCTCTGGCCTAACCCTAGCAAGCCAACCTCAATGACTTCAAATATAACGGACTTCAAGTAAGGTGTTCTTAGAGAATTACTGGAAACGATTCTTTTCTAGATGGGTTTCTTTTCTTTTTTGTTACCAGCATGTTATCCCTACCCACCACTTTTATGAAACCAAACAAAGCAACTCTTTTGTAAACAGCATTGCAAAGGCCTTATTTTATAACAGATGAAGAACAATGCTTGTCTTTAGGGAATCTTATTTGAAACTCCTTAGATGACAGAGTAGCACAGTACCAAGAAAGACTCAGGAAGGTAATTCAGCTCCTGGGGAAGTCTAATTTGAAACAACTGGAATGGAGAATGCGAATGCCCAGCATTTCTCCACTGGTTTGTAGAGAAGAGAGATGTGATGGGCCTTTCACAGGAAGCTGGAAAAGCCAGCTTGGTAGGCAGCAGAACTGTTCCTTGCTTTCTTTCCAACTTCATCAGCCAACTCCAGCAGCAGTGTTGCTTCCTACTGAGAACAGATTCTGCTTGTTCAGTGCATGTTTGTGAAGAAAGAGGATTTTTCAGACACTCTGATATAATGGGGCATTCACAATTTCAAACTGTAGCTATATTTGCCCCCCTACCCTGCCACATGGGAAAGATGCCAGGAGCCCAAACTTGCTTAGAAATGGTAATGGACTTATAGCCTCTGTTGACTTAGGGTAAGTTCTGGTTAGTAGTCCAACCCCTGGGGCCACAGCTTCCTGCCCAGAGCAAGCTACTTCCTGCTCTGATAGGAATTAGGAAAACTACAGGACAACTGCCCAGGAGAATTCTGCTCTGAACTCTCCAGCTCCTTACTGCACTCCTGACAGGCACATTTACACTCGGTTTCCAATATGTTCCTTCTTTATTCTGCTGCATGCAGCAATTACTTTTTTTCCTCCACAGTGAAATCTATCAATGTTGCAAAACACTCATGTCAGATCTTGTCTTGTTTCTTATTGTTCTGCAAATAAACTGCAGGCAATTTAACCTAGTTCAACGAGACCAGACCTGTCACTTCAGCTTCAAGTTTCATCCCATTTCTACCCCTCAAGCTGCTGCTATGTATAGTGATGACTAAGCCCTTGACCACATTACTCGTAGATGTGTTTTTTGAGCTCAGGTCACTCCCTTCCTTGTCACTGTCCTCCTTCTTTGGCCTTCTCACTGTTCCTTCCAGATCACTAAGCATATTCTACTTTGGGAAGTTTCTCTGAGGTTTTTCTCTTTTGCCCTCTTCAAAGCAAATGGACTGCTTCCTATAATGGTACTAACCATTTTCATGCTGCATAAAATGACAAAAATATAAGACATATTACACATGTATGTTAAAATAAAAAATTATTGATACTGCAATTGAATAAATATGTCCATAGCTTTTTGTTAACTTGCCTCTCCTCTTTGAACTATATGGATAAATGTTTTATCCCCTATCCCAACACCATATATCTGTCTTGGATTTGAGATTAGGGCCCTCACACTACTAAACAAGGATTTTGTTACGCAAAGCACATTCCCAGATTTTTTATGCTTAAGATATTTTTTTAGATAGGGTTTTATATTTTTGCTTTGGGTTGTCCTAGATCTTTGATCTTCCTACTACAACTGCTTCTAGCAAAACTGAAATTAACATGTATGAGCCACTGCTCCAGTTTATGTTAGTTATTTCTGTAACTCAATAGCCAACATGTGTCTAGTTCATATTGGAGTCCTAGCACAGATATAAATAAAAAGCATAAATTTTGTGAGTGGTCACCTGGGTGATGCCCCTGGGATGTCCAGAAAGGATCTACACTGAAGCTAGGGATAACATTATTATTCTAAAAATTTGAGGACTAGACATAAAAAAGCCAATTGTCAAATATATTTTTTTAATATTTAGGAGAATCAAAATTATTTAGCAAATCCTGAGCATCTTCACTGAGTGAAGTCTTTTAAATAGGTTATTTAAACACTCTTTTTGGAGGTGGTCTTAAAACATTTGCAGATGAAAGTAAGCTCAGTGCTTGCTTCAGCAGCATACATACTAAAATTGGAACAATATAGAGAAGATTAGCATGGCCTCTGCACAAGGATAACACGCAAATTCGTGAAGCAGTCCAGAATTATTCACATGTCAGGAACTACCAAACACCTCTCAGTCCTAACTCTCAACATTAATGGACTTAACTCACCAATTAAGCAACATAGATGGTCTAGTTGGATGAAAAAGCAAGATCCTTCAAGAGTCACATCATGCCCATAAAAACAAACATATTCTGAAAGTGAAAGGCTGGAATAAAATCTACCAAGCAAACAGCTCCCATAAGCAGGCGGGAGTTACAATCCTAATATCAGATAAAATAGACTTCAAATTAAAATTAGTGTGAAGAGATAAAGAAAGTCACTACATACTAATTAAGGGATCTCTCTTTCAGATATTACAATTCTAAATATCTACTCACCAAACAACAGAGCACCCAAGTTCATCCAAGAAACACTACATTCCCTCAAATCTCACATATATCCAAAGACATTAATTTTTGGGGACTTTAACACACCACTATCTCCACTAGATAGATCAACTCGGCAAAAACTCAACAGCAAAACCACAGATCTAAACAACAACATAGATCAACTAGATTTAACAGACATCTATCAAATATTTCCCACAGAAGCATCAGAATACACGATTTTGTCAGCAGCACATGGAACATTTTGCAAAATATACCACATTTTAGATCACAAAGCAAACTTATCCAAATTTAGAAACATTAAAGTTATACTCTGCATTCTCTCAGACCACAAGGGAATAAAATTAGAACTCAACACCAAAAGCCACTAAAGAAAGTCCTGTAACACATGGAGGCTGAACAACACACTGATGATTCACCAGTGGGTCATGGAAGAGATTAGAAAGGAAATTCAAATGTTCATGATATACAACAAAAATGCACACACAAATTACCAGCTCCTCTGGGACACAGCAAAGGCAGTACTCAGAGGCAAATTTATAGCACTGAGTTCCTACATCAACAAATTGAATCCAACAATTTAATGAGACATCTGAACCTCCTTGAAAAAGAGCAGCAAGCTAAACCCCAATCCAGTGGATGGAAAGAAATAATTAAAATTAAATCAGAATTAAACAAATTAATAGAATCAACAAAACAAAGAGTTGATTCTTAGAAATTAACGAAATTGACAGACCCTTAGCAAATTTAATCAGAAAAAGAAGAGAACACACCCAAATAAACTCAGAGATGAGAATGGAAACATCATCACAGAAACAACCAAGATCTAGAACATTATAAGAGAATATATCTCAAACCTTTATGCTAATAAGTTTAAGAATCTGGAAGAAATGAATGATTTCCTAGCAAATATCGACATGCCAAAACTAAACCAAGATGAGTTAAACCAACTTAACAGGCCCATAACAAGCATTGAAATAGAGACAGCAATAAGAGACCTCTCATCTAAGAAAAGCCCAGAACCAGATGGATTTACAGCAGAATTCTACAAGGACTTCAAAGCAGAACTCACATCAATACTCCTCCAACTCTTCAATGAAATTGAAAGAAAAAGTTCACTACAGAACTCATTCTATGTCTGTTGAACCAGGAAGGGACTCATCAAAGAAAGAGAACAATAGACACATTTCTTTGATGAACATTGATGCAAAACTTCTCAACAAAATTTTGGCCAACTGATTTCAACAATTCATCCAAAAATCTTAGACCACGATCAAACAGGATTCATTTCAAGGACGCAAAGTTGGTTCAATATATGCAAATCAATTAACATAATTCACATCAACAAGAGCAAGGATAAGAACCACAAGGTTATCTCAATAGATGCAGAAAAAGCATTTTACAAGCTCCAACACCTCTTTATGATGAAGGCTCTGGAAAAATTAGGAATCCATGGAACATTCCTCAATACAATAAAGGTTGTATATGACAAACCTACAGCCAGCATTATACTTAATGCTGAAAAATTAAAGCCATTTCCTCTAAACTCAGGAATAAGACAAGGATGTCCACTCTCTCCACTTCTTTTCAATTTAGTATTAGAATGCCTAGCTACAGCAATAAAACAAGATGCAAACATAAAAGGGATCCAAATAAGGAAAGATGAAGTAAAACTGTCCCTCTTTGCAGATGACATGATCTTGTATTTAAAGAATCGTACAGACTCCACTCCCAAATTACTCGAGCTGATTCAAAACTTTGGCAAAGTAGCAGGGTATAAAATTAACCCTCAAAAATCGATGACTTTTTTGTATGCCAACAATGAGAAGAGCTGGGCTGAAATCAGGAAATCAACTCCATTCTTAGTAGCCCCACAAAAAATAAAATACCTAGGAATTAACTTAACCAAAGAAGTGAAGGGCCTCTATGATGAAAACTTTAAAAACTTGAAAAAGGAAATCAAAGCAGAACTAGGTGGAAAACCATGCTCCTGGATTGTAAGGATCAACATCATGAAAACAGCAATACTTCCCAAGGCTATCTACACATTCAGTGCAATACCTATCAATATTCCAATAATTCTGATATTCATTCTTTTTTATTAATTTTTCATTTTAAAAATGTTGTACAGAGGGGTTATATTTACATGAGTAAGGTAATGCGTACATTTCATAGCGAGCATTGTTACTTCCACTTTTATTTTCCCCCTACCATCACTTCCCTCCCTACCTCCCCAACTCCTCCCACCCCTCCCACACCAACATTGTGAAGTTCATTTTCAATATACTGTCCTGTACATCTCATTGTCACAATGGGTCAGGGTCAGCCTGCATCCTCATGTAAGTGTTCTGCAATATCCTTTCCCCTCCCCAAATTATATATATATATATATACAAGGTGCAGAGCATCAGCATAAAATCCAGTGAAAACAAGGGTTATATCATGCAGGAAGAATATACAATAGAAACAAAAGAATCACATAGTATATTGTAAGTACATTAAAAACACTAGCAAGAAAGAGAAGAAAAAAACCTCTAGTGTCTCTGTCTTCGGGTGCATTTTGCTTAACATCTCATATGGTCATATGTATGTTGCCTTTAACCTACTCTGCTTGTCCTAGACATGTACTAGTCACTGCAAACAAGGGAAACCATGGGACCTATGTTTCTTTGGGACTGGATTAATTCATTTAATGATTTTTTTCAAGTCTTTCCATTTCCTAACAAAAGAGGCAATGTCACTTTTTCTGATGGAGGTATAGAGTTCCAGTGTGTGTGTGTGTGTGTGTGTGTGTGTGTGTGTGTGTGTGTGTGTGTATAACATTTTCTTGATCCATTCATCTACTGAGGGGCATAGGGGTTGTTTCCATACCTTAGCTATGGGAAATAATGCTGCAATAAACATGGTTGTGCTGGTATCTTTGGTATGACCTTGTTTGTAATCGTTTGGGTAAATGCCCAAAAGTGGGATTGCTGGGTCATAAGGGAGCTCTGTGTGGAATCTTTTGAGGAACCTCCATACTGCTTTCCAGAGTGGTTGAACAAGTTTACACTCCCACCAACAATGCAGTAGGGTTTCCTTTTGACCACATCCCCTCCAGCATCTGTAGTTATTCGATTTCTTGATTGTAGCCATTCTAGCTGGAATGAGGTGGAATTTCCTTGTTGTCTTGATTTGCATTTCTTTTATGCTTAGAGAGCCAACCTCATTTTTCAAGGAAATAGAAGAGGAAATCCAAAAATTCATATGAAACAATAAAAGACCCTGAATAGCAAAAATGATCCTTAAGAGAAAGAACAGTGCTGGAGGAATACCAATACCAAATTTCAAACTCTACTGCAAAGCCATAGTAATCCAAAGCTTGGTACTGGCACAAGAACAGACCTCAGGACCAATGGAATAGAACTGAAAACCCAGAAATGAACCCATAGACCTATAGCCACCTAATTTCAATAAGGGAACTTAAAAAATAAAAGAAAGACAACCTCTTCAATAAATAGTGCTGGAAAAATTGGTTAATCAGTTGTAGAATACTAAAGCTAGATCCTAATATATCATCCTGCACCAGAATCAACTCCAAATGGATCAAAGACCTCGGAGTTAAAGCAGATACCCTGAAAACATTACAGGACAGAATAAGAGAAACCCTTGGCCTCCTTGGCACAGGCCGAAATTTTCTTAATGGAGACCCAGAAACACAACAAATCAGAGAAAGGTTGGACAAATGGGATTGCATGAAACTTCAGAGCTTCTTCATGGCAAAGGACATAGCTAGCAAGATCAATAGAAAGCTCATGGATTGGGAGAAGATCTTCACTAACCATACAACAGACAAAGGTCTCATATCTAAAATATACCTGGAACTCAAAAAATTAAATTCCCCAACAACAAATCTTCAAAGAAACAAGTGTCCAATAAATAAGAAGGCTAAAGGCCTAAAGAGATACTTCTCTGAAAAGGAGAGAAGGATGACCAATAGACACATGAAGAAATGCTCAACTCTCTAACCATGAAAGAAATGTTAATCAAAACAACACTGAGATTCCACCTCACCCCAGCTAGAATGGCTATAATCAAGAAATCTAATAACAACAGATGCTGGAGGAGATGTGGCCAGAAGGGAACCCTACTGCATTGTTGGTGAGAGTGTAAACTTATTCAACCATTTTGGAAAGCAGTATGGAGCTTCCTCAAAAGACTCCACATAGAGCTCCCCTATGACCCAGAAATCCCACTTTTGGACATTTACCCAAATGATCACAAACAAGAGCATACATACTAAAGCTACCAGCACAACTATGTTTATTGCAGCATTATTTACCATAGTTAAGATATGGAACCAACCCCTATGCCCCTCAGTAGATAAATGGATCAAGAAAATTTTATATATATATAATATATATACAATATGTATATATTACATAAATATATATATATAATGGAATTCTATGCTTCCATCAGAAAGAATGACATTGTCCCATTTGTCAGGAAATGTAAAGTCTTAGAAAAAATTATATTAAGTGAAGTAATCCAGGCCCAAAGAAACATAAGCTCCCATCATTTCCCTTATTTGCAATAACTAGCATATGTCTGAGACAAGTAGAAAAGGTTAAATAAAAGTGATGTTAAGTGAGATGAACCCTAAGATAAAGACAC